AGCTTAGGATAGACGAACATCACGCCTTAAATCGAGAATACTGGAGACAGTTGACTAGTACAGCAGACTCTGTGTAAGCGGGAAAATACGAAGATTAAAAAAATTACTTGAAGGTTATTAGATACCCAAGATGCTAATTTAGCATACCTAGATCTATTAATAATTAATACGCTTACTTTCAAAAGTCCTAGAATCGCCAAATCAGTATTGGCAAAACTAATTTTAGAATTAGGATTGTATTATTGAGCACTAGTAAAAATGATGAATGAGAAGAAAGATACGGTATGTGTCCGCCAGTCGGCATTTCGTATTGGCGCTGAGATAGATTTTAATTAGTTAAGGGCATTTAGACAAAGTTTTTTTGAAAACAAGCAAGCACTAAAAAGCTCGGATAGTCAAAAGAAAACTAGATTAATGATACAATCTGCTAAAATTTTTCGGGGTGCAACTGCGAAAGAACGGTTTTACTTAAAGTATCGATGAAGGAATTTGATATTACCTTAAGAGGAGAAACTTCTTAGTCCTCAAGCTTGAAACTTCAAAAAGATGATTAATGCGATGACCAAAACAGTCATTGACGAGGGGCTATTTGCAATAGCACGGTCATGCAGAGTTACATATGTCACCATCACATGAAGAATTCCAAGATCTTAAAGTTAATTCAGGTAAAATACAATACTGATTCAATACATTTTAATGCTGGTATATTTCCATGTCCTTCAAATTAGCTTCCCTTTTTTGGAAAATCATTATTTTTTTCATTATAAACATATTTCATCCAGCGATAAAAGTACGTTATTGGACTAGCTTTGAACAGGCCAAAAAATTGACTTTTGGTGCTCACCATAGTTGAGTGAAATAAGCATATTTGTAATAAATGTGATAATTTTAGTAGTCGAATATTCAGAAAACCCATACTCAAAGGTCAAACATTCAAACTTCCATTATTACAATTTTTGGTTGAATTTATTGTAAAATGGTGGTTCAAGTGTTATTTATTCAATCAAGTATTTTGAACACCAATGAGTGATCAACAATCGTTCAATCGATAAAATTCCTGAGTGTTTCATTTGCAGTAACTGGGCGCGAAATGCCAGCACTTGAAGGACTTATCTCCTGGTTCGTTTGCTACACACAGAATCTACAGTCATAAGTCTCCATTCCACAATCCGTTTTGAAGACAGCATCTTGTTTAAGCAAGAGTTCTTATTTTTATATAAGACAGGATAAAAGGTCTTGCAAGAATCTCCAATTTTCTCACGATTAATAGTGAAATTAAGGAGGCACCGAAAAATCAGGGACGCAATGTAGTCCCTAGCCTCGTATCCAACTGTAGA